CACTTCAATTTACTCACAAACTCACAACACAAAAAAGAAAAATTTGTGACAACAATAACTTAGGGAAGAGGAAAGGGACGGAACCTGCTTAGGCTAATGGAGATAAAAGACTATCGGAATATGGACTATCCCGTCTATGATATCTTTTATACAAACCTCACGGTAACCACTAAACAAAAAATCAGAGCAGAGTCACAAATCCTAAATAAAGAGAAACCCATCAGCGAAAACCACCAAACTCAAATGGCAGTCAGAAATATAAGGGAAAAGGAACAATGGAAATATAGAACAACCAGAAAACAAGAGATAAAATGGCAGTATTAAGCCCTCACATATCAATAATTACTCATTGTAAATGGATGAACCTACCAATCAAAAGACGCAGAGTGGTTGGATGGATTAAAAAACAGGACCCAACAATATACTGCCTCCAGGAAACACATCTCAACTCTAAAGACAAACAGGCTTAGAGTGAGGGGACAGGTGATACTCCAAGCAAATGGCACCAAAAGAAAGCAGGTGTAGCCATACTCACATCAGACAAAGCTGACTTCAAGATAAAAAAAGACAACACGAGACAAAGATGGGCATTATATAATGATAAAAGAGACTTTCCACCAAGAAGACATAATACTTATGAATATACATGGCCCTAACACAGGAGTACCAAACTATATAAAGCAATTATTAACAGACCTAAAGGGAGAAATTGATAGCAACACAATAATAGCAGGAGACTTCAACACCACACTTACATCACTGGATAGATCATCCAGGCAGAAAGTCAACAAGGAAACAGTGGCTTTAAATGAAACACCAGATCTGATGGACTTAACAGATATATGTATCTATAGAACATTCCACCCCAAAACTGCAGAATACACATTCTTCTCAAGTGCACATGCCACATTCTTAAAGACAGGCCATATGTTGGGAAACAAGGCAAGCCTCAATAAATTTAAGAAGATTAAAATCATATCAAGCATCTTTTTGGACTACAATGCTATGAAACTAGAAATTAACTACTCTTGTAAAAAAAAAGCTGGGAAAGTCACAGATATGTGGAGACTAACAACATACTACTGAACAACCATTGGATCAATGAAAGGAGAAATAAAAAAAATACCTGCAGACAAATGAAAATGGAAACACAACATATCAACTTTTATGGGAGACAGCAAAAGTGCTCCTAAGAGGGAAATTCATAGCAAAACAGGCCTACCTTAACAAGCAAGAAAAATGTCAAATAGGTAGTCTTAAATTCCACCTAACAGAACTAGAAAAAGAAGAAAACAAATTCCAACTCCAGCAGAAGGAGGGAAATGATAAAAATTAGAGCATAAATAAATGAAATAGATACTAGAAAAGCAAAAGAAAGAATCAATGAAACTAGGAGATGCTTCTTTGAGAAGATAAAGAAAATTGATACACTCTTAGCCAGACTCACTAAGAAAAAAAAGGAGAAGCCTCAAATAAAGAAAAATTTAAAAAGGAGAAACTACAATGGACACCACAGAAATACAAAGGATTATAAGAGGATACTATGAAAAGCTATATGCCAACAAATTGGATAACCTAGAAGAAATAGATAAATTCTTAGAATCATACAATCTCCCAAAACTGAATCAAGAAGAAATAGAGAATCTGAATAGACCAATCACAAGTAAAGAGATTGAAACAGTAATCAAAAACCTCCCAAAAAACAAAAGTCCAGGACCAGATGGCTTTTCTGGAGAATTCTACTAAACATTCAAAGAAGATTTAATACCTATCCTTCTCAAACTATTCCAAAAAATTGAAGAAGATGGGATACTTCCTAACTCATTTTACGAGGCCAACATTACCCTGATACCGAAACCAGACAAGGACAACATGAAAAAGATCAATACCGCTGTTGAGCATAGATGCAAAAATCTTTAACAAAATATTAGCAAATCGAATACAGCAATACATTAAAAGGGTCATACACCATGATCAAGTGGGATTTATACCAGGGGCATAGGGATGGTTCAACATCTGGAAATCAATCAATCTGATCTACCACATTAACAAAATGAGAAATAAAAATCACATGATCATCTCAATAGATACAGAGAAAGCATTTGACAAGATCCAACATCCATTTATGATAAAAACTCTCAGTAAAATGGGTATAGAAGGAAAGTACCTCAACAGAATAAAGGCCATAAATAACAAACCCACAGCCAACATCATACTTAATGGTGAAAAACTGAAAGCTATTCCTCTGAGAACAGGAACAAGACAAGGATGCCCACTCTTATTCAGCGTAGTACTGGAGGTGTTTTGTTGCCAATCTTCTTTTTTTTTTTTTCTTAAGGATTGACACCCGGGCTAACAACTGTTGCCAATCTTTTTTTTCTTTTCTGCTTTATCTCCCCAAACCCCCCTTGTACACAGTTGTATATCTTAGTTGCAGGTCCTTCTAGTTGTGGAATGTGGGATGCCGCCTCAACGTGGCCTGACGAGTGGTGCCATGTCTGCGCCCAGGGTCCAAACCCTGGGCCACCTCAGTGGAGCGCAAAAACTTAACCACTCGGCCACAGAGCCAGCCCCAGTACTGGAGGTTTTGGCCAGAACAATTAGGCAAGAAAAGGATCCAAAAGCATCTGAATTGGCAAGGAAGAAGAGAAACTCTCACTGTTTTCAGATGACATGATTCTATATGCATAAAACCCTAAATAAGCCACCAAAAAACTGTTATAAGTAATCAACAAGTACAGAAAAGTTGCAGGGTACAAAATCAACACACAAAAATCAGTTGCATTTCTATACACTAATAACGAACTAGGAGAAAGAGAAATCAAGAATACAATCCTACTTACAATCACAACAAAAAGAATAAAATATTCAAGAATAAATTTAACTAAGGAAGTGAAAGACCTATACACTGAAAACTCTAAGGCATTATTGAAAGTAATCAAAGAAGACAAAGAAATGGAAAGAGATTCCATGTTCATGGATTGGAAGAATAAACATAGTTTTAAAATGTCTATATTACCTAAAGCAATCTACAGATTCAGTGCAATTCCAATCAGAATCTCAATGACATTCTACATGGAAATAGAACAAAGAATCCTAAAACTTATATGGAACAACAAAAGACCCAGAATAGCCAAAGCAATCCTGAGAAAAAAGAACAGAGCTGGAGGCATTACAATCTCTGACTCCAAAATATACTACAATGCTATAGTAATAAAAACAACATGGTACTGGCATGAAAACAGACACACAGGTCAGTGACACAGAATTGAAAGCCCAGAAATAAAATCACACATCTATGGACACCTAATCTTTGACAAAGGAGCTAAGAACATACAATGGAAAAAGGAAAGTCTCTTCAATAAATGGTGCTGGGAAAACTAGACAGCCACATGCAAAAGAATGAAAGTAGACCATTATCTTACATCATACACAAAAATTAACTGAAAATAGATTAAAGACTTGAATGTAAGACCTGAAACCATAAAACTCATAGAAGAAAATACAGGCAGTACATTCTTTGATATCAGTCTTAGCAGTAACTTTTTGAATAGCGTGTCTACTCAGGCAAGGGAAACAAAAGAAAAAATAAACAAATGGAACTACATCAGACTAAAAGCTTCTGCAAGGCAAAGGAAACCATGAGCAAAATGAATAGACAACCCACCAACTGGGGGAAAATATTTGCAAATCATATATCTGACAAGGGGTTAATCTCCAAAATATATAAAGAATTCATATAACTCAACAAGAACAAAACTAACAACCCGATCAAAAAATGGGCAGAAGATCTGAACAGACGTTTTTCCAAAGAAGATATTCAGATGGGCAACAGGCCCGTGAAAAGATGTTCAATATCACTAATTATTAGGGAAATGCAAATCAAAACTACAGGGAGATATCACCTTACATCCGTTATAATGGCTATAATCACCAAAATAAAAAATAAATGTTGGAGAGGTTGTGGAGAAAAGGGAACCCTCATACTTTGCTGGTGGGAATGCAAACTGGTGCAGTCACTATGGAAAACAGTATGGAGATTCCTCAACTAAAAATAGAACTACCATACGATCCAGCCATCCCACTACTGGGTATTTACCCAAAGAACATGAAATCAACAATTCAGAGATCTGTGCATCCCTATGTTCATCGTAGCATCATTCACAATAGCCAAGATGTGGGAGCAACCCAAGTGCCCATAACGGATGTATGGATAAAGAAAATATCGTGTGTATATATATACAATAGAATACTATTCAGTCATGAAAAAGACAAAATCATGCCATTTGCAACAACATGGATGGACCTTGAGGGTATGATATTAAGCAAAATAAGCCAGACAGAGAAAGACAAATACCGTATGATTTCACTCATATGTGGAAGATAAACAAACACATGGACAAAGAGAACAGATTAGTGGTTCCCAGAGGGGAACGAGGTAAGAGGTAAAGGGGCACCTGTCATGGCGACGGATTAAAACTAGACTATTGGGGGTGAGCACGATGCAGTCTATACAGAAACTGATATATGATAATGTACACCTGAAATTATATGATGTTATAAACCAATATCACTTCAATAAAATAATTAAATAATAAAAAAAGAAAAGCTACTGCCCCTGGAGCTCCTGGTCTCCTCCAATGGACTCTGTTTACAACAGCCTCTCCCAGCTTCACAAAAGTGTTTCCCTCCCTTGTTTTCTCCTGACTTGCATGCGGTTTGTTATTGTGGCGTGCCCTCAACTGCAATTCTTTGCCATTCTCCAATAAATCCATTCTGCTGGTTAAAAAAAATGATAATGGTCAATTATCCCTTTTGTTGTTGTTGTTAGCAACATTTTCCTCCTTGTGGGGCATTTTAGAGTCTTCTGTTTATCCTTGGTGTTGTGAAATCTTACAGTGACTTGTCTGGGTGTGGACCAGCACCCAGGGGATCCTTTCACTCTACACCCCTGGAAAACTTTCTTTTATTGATAATTCCTTGTGCTGGCTGCTTTCTGTTTACACCCCACACAGATCCTTTCTCCCTCTTTGTTCTCTGTCCTTCTCTAGGCCCAGGGAGGCTGGATGACCCTTTGCCGGCTGGACTCCAGTTGGATTTGGTCAATGGCCGGAACCCACAGGAGCCTGGAAGCGAAGGAGAGGTGGGTAGACGTCCTCCCTACTTCCCCTTGCTTCAATGCTGAGTCTCTGGTGATGGCGGCCTGCCTCCATTATAGCAGCTCAGTGGGTGGCCCCCTGGCTCTGATGACATGGTTTTGTCCCTTGTTCCTTTAGCCGTAGGCGGGTAACTGCTTCTGCTCGTCTCTGGGTGCCTCACCAGTCCTTCTATTTTCCCTTAACCCTGCCCACCCCTCTGAAGGTGACCCTCCCATTCATGTCCCTTCATTTGGGGACTGGGGGTGAATCCTGCCCCCTGCTTGGGCTCTGAATGATATGCTCCCTTTCATTTTCTTGGTTCTCCCTTCCTGGAAATTTTATTAATCAGGTATTGGATCCTTTGCATTAATCATCTATGTCTTTTATTTTTGCTCCCACATTTCCCATCTTTTTGTGGTTTTGCTCTATATTACGAGACACATCCTTCCCTCTTCCTCCCATCCCTTCCGATAAAATGTTTTGCTATTTCCGTAATCATACGATTGACGTCCAAGAGTTCTTTCTTGGTCTTGTCTTATGGGTTCAGCAACTTTGTTAATTTGTCGAAGGATTACTGGAAGTTTTTGCTCTCTTAAAGCTCTATCCCTGAGTTACTTCAGTTTCTTTTCAGGTCAATTATTTTGTTTGTTTATCTTGACCTATCCCTTTTGTGCTGTTGATTTCTAAATATATGGGACTCTCTGTTTCTCTGTTCATAAGAACGGGAAAAGAAGCTGATTTTCCTGGATGGCTGATCGACATTCCTTTGCTAAGAGTCTTCTGGGAAAAGAGCAGGACAGTTGCCCAGGAGCTCTGGGTGGGGGGACCCACTTGTCAGCTTCCCTTGAGAAGGAGCAGGTGGGGGGGTGAGGGACATTCCACACAGGACTGGTTGTGTAGGCTGGGCCTCCAAGAAGGAGCTGGAGATTTCCAAGTGGAAAACGAGCTCTGTGAGTCCAGGCTGTGGAAGCAACGTTGACACAAGCCTGGATATGCGAAACGCAATGATATTCCCTAAAAATAAAGAGTTTAAGTGGAGAAAGATCTGGGGGAGGCACCCTTGGGCGGGGCTAAAGGAGAAATAGAGTCAGACCGATTTTAGAAGCTCCCAGTGGCTGAGAGCGTGGGGCCTGTTAGGAGTGTGTGGGACTAATTCAGGCGCTAGGTAGGGGTCATGCCGTGTGGGTGGAGAGGTTTCAGACTAGAATTGGTGGGGACTGCTCATTAGCTGTGGGGGGAGGCATGAGGAGGTAGACAAGCGCACAGGCCACAGGAATTATACCAGCAGCCACAGATTTCCAGGGTGCGTTTCCTGCCGGGGTCTCTGCTCAAAGCTGTTTACATGTCATCTCATTTCACCTCATGGCAGCCCTCGAGGAGGATTGTCTTACTATCTCCATCTTATGGAAGGGAGGGCGTCGGAGGCTCGGGGAGCTGCCTCCCATGCCCAGCTCGTGACCACTCACCACCCTGGCTCTCCAGGCGGCAAAAGTAACAGCGAATCGCCTGCCAGGGTGTCGTTGGGGTCCAGCCCCCTTCCCTGATCCCAGCTTTCTCATAGACCAAGGAGAACACTGACCCTGCAGCAGACTGAGAGGTCAAACTGCGAGCTGTCGAGGGCCCAACACACCTGCTCCTGTTTGACTCCAAGGTGATTCACGTGGAGCATTCCTAAGGGGGCGGGAAGTGAGGTCTGTCACTAAGCTATGAAAGAGGATCCATGTCTGTGAGGTGAGACAGAACTGCCAGATTTATGGCGCAGGGCAAACCCTGCTGAGCCCCTTCCTCAGAGACTGTGGAATGCAGCCTGGCCGCTGGCAGGACCTCTTAGACGGGGGTCCTGGCCCTGATGCCAGCCAGGAGGGAAGGACAGCTCCCAGTTTCTTGTTCACCGGCTCTGCTTTCTTGAGGAGCTGCGGATGCTCCCGCTATGCTCCGTGCCGGGCTCTGCAGCCACCAGGGGGCGCTGTTTCCTTCCCCAGCAGACTCAAAGGGTCTGACTCCAGCTCCTGCTGCGCTGGTTTAACTAGGAATGTCTGCTACGAGGAGCTCCCTGCCCCTCTCAGGGGCGCCAAGACGGTGCTGGAGAAGGAGCTTGGACTTTGGGCTCAGATCCCAGCCCCACTGTCTACAACTTGGGTGACTGAGACAAGTCACTCCACTTCTTCCAGCCTCAGTTTTCTCGCCTGTGAAATGGGATGATCACACCCACCAGATGGGTGTGAGGATGGAATAAGAGCAGGGGCTTCCGCTGGCATGGGAGCCGTCCGCCACCTTCTCTGCCCTCTCTGCTCCTCGGCTGTCCTCTGACCCCTGGGGGCTAGGGCCCAGGCTGGGCAGCATTCCCAGCGTGTCTGTGTGGCAGCCTGCCTCAAGGGTCACCAGCACGGCCGCAGAGGCTGCAGGCAGCACAGTCCCCACTTGGCTGCCCCACGAGGAGGAGGTGACAGTGTTAAGTTCTCATCCACACAGAGAACAGATGTCTATAGTTGAGCGGTTTCTGGCTGGGAAACAGTCTCCACTTTAGACTCCAGGAAGCCACCGTTACAATGAGGTCCCATTAAATGCATTCCTTCCTTCCTTTGTCAGACGCTGCCATTGTGTGTGGACCCATGCTGGGCTCTGGGGGCAGAGACAAGAACAGTGCCCTAGATGCGGGGGAGGGAGCCAAGGATGCTTGTGCAGACATACAACCAGGCTGCGCCACTTGCCTCCGCAGCAGAGCACAGAAGGCAGAGGGGACATTGGAGCTGGGGTGTGAGGAGGAGCAGCAGTTTTCCGGGTAGTCAAGGCAGGGAGGAGAGTGGGCCCAAAAGGAGAAATGACAGGTGCAAACCCCGGGGGCTTGGGCATTGGGCAGGCTGGATCTGAGCATTTCTTAGCTGAGTGACTTTATGGAAGTTGCTCAATCTTTGAGACTCACTGGGCTTCATCAGTAAAAGAGGAATAAAAAGGGCCACCTCTCAGAGCTGCTGTGACGCTCAAATAGGGTAATGTCTGTAGAGTCCACATGTGCCGTAAATGGCAGTTGCCATTCTAGAAAGGGCCACTGCCCACAACTCCGGGGCGTTTCCATAGATGTCACCATGAATAGTGCCTCTGGGGTTATTTAGTGTGTGTGGGGGGCATGACTGGGTGGTCTGGGCCATGTCCTGTGGCTCATGAGGAGCCATGGAAGGTTTTTTTTCCAGCTTTATTGAGATATAATTGACACATAGCATTATGTAAGTTTAAGGTGCACACTGTGTTGATTTGATAAATTTATATATTGCAAAATGATTTCCACTATAGCATCAGCTCAGAGCTCCATCCCGTCACATAATTACTATTTCCTTTTTGTGGTGAGAACATTTAAAATCTCTCTTAGCAGCTTTCAAGTGTACAAGACAGTATTGTTAACTGTTAACTGTAATCACCGTGCTGTACCCTAGGTGCCCAGAAATTGTTGCTCTTACAGCTGGGAGTTGGTGCCCTTTGACCTATATCTCCCCATGTCCCCCTCCCCCAGCTCCTGGTGACCCCCGCTCTGCTCTGTTTCTGAGTTCAAGCCGTGGAAGGCCTTATGGAGAGCCGTGCGTGTCCAATATTTAGGAGGTGCCCTTGAAGCGGATCTGTTACTCTCAGGAGATCCTCCAGCCACATAAGTGAGTTTATGGTGTGGGCTCCTTGAGGCAGGAAATTATGTTAGTGTTTTCAAAATAGGAGCAGCCCTTGCAACAAATGTTGCTCCATTTCAGCCAAGTTCTGTCACCTGGACGCCAAAGCAGTGCGTTCTCATTTAACTCTCGTTACAGCCACCTTGGAGGCCCTTCCAGGATTGAGAGGCCCTCCCTCACTGTTCCACCTGCCCCTCTGGAAGCCCTCTTGCTTACATTCTCCAGCCACATTGCCCTCCTGTGGTCTCCAGTGGCCAAATGCCTCCAGCCTCAGGGCCTTTGCACTTGCTGTGCCCTCCACCTGGACTACCCATCTAAGGCTGACCCATTTCCCCACAGCAGCTCTCTGCCCTAACTTATATACTTGTTTCCTTGTCCCTTGTCCATCTTCTCCCTCAGGGCTGGGAGTTCCAGGATGGCACAAGGATGGGACCCTGCCTTGTTCAGCTCTGTGTGCCCAGCAGGAGAGCCAGCTCATAGGAAGCCTGCAATTAACATTTGTGAAGGAGTTTATGAAAGGCAGGTCTTCTCATGCCCATTTCATGGATGGGAAAACTGAGGCTCAGAGAGAGAGAGTGAGAGAGAGCCACGCAGTTACAGCGTGCTGGCGTGCAGGGCCGGGTGGCGTGGTGGGGGGAGACCCACGTGTAGGGCTGCATCTCCGGGGCGGGCAACCAGGGCTCGAGGGCGCGGCTCCTGGGGCGGGCGCCGGGTCCCCGGGCGGGCGGGTGGCCGGAGCGTCCCGTGGGCGGCGCGGGCAGCTGGCTGGGCGGGGGCGGGCGCGGGCGCGGGCGGCAGCCGGGAAGGAGCCGGGTCGAGCTGGTGCACGGGCAGGGAGGTCCGCTTCGCACGCAGGGAGCGCCGCGGCCGCCGGAGCAGGTGAGGCCGGGCGGGCCTGCGCCCTCGGGGGACCCGGGGGCGGAGGAGGAGGCCGGCCGGATCCGGGGGCCCTCGGAAAGCAGTGCGCGCTGCCGGCCCCGGGCGCCTGGGGAGGGACGCGGCGCCAGTGGGCTTCCCAGAGCCCGGGGCGCAGAGCCGCACAGCCGGGGCGAGGGGATCGGCGGCCCCTCGAGTGAACTGGGGCTCCCGCAGCCTTGGTGTCCTCGCCTGAGCCGTGGGGGCCACCAGCCCTGCGAGCGCGAGTGGAGGAGGCGAGGGGCGCGGGGAAAATGTGTGCGCGCTGGGGCCCTGGGAGACAGGAGCTGTCGCTGAAATTGCAGGAAACAAAGCAGACGTCCTTCTCCCCTTCTCCCTTCTTCCCTCATGGGGAGATTGACGGAGGGTTTCATTCATTAATTTTCTGCCGACTGATGAGGATGGCAGGCTGCACGGAGGCCTCCCCTAGGGTTGGCCTGTGTTCCCACCTTGTCTTGAGAGCTGCCTGGGCACTCGATCCTGGGACACCATCTCACGGATTGTGCACAATAATCCCCCCTCCCCAGTCGCCACCCCCTGGGGTGTACCTGGGGGACCTGAGGTCTCCTGGTCCTCACTGGGCATCTCCAAGGTTCACAGTGGGAAGTGAGGGACAATCTGGGTGTGAGGGCCCTTGTGGGGGGCCAGATCACCCAGAAAGCCCTGAAGTGGTCAGTGTGGCCCCAGTTCAGAGCCCTGGGAAGTGGATGTGACCACCCCGGGGTGATCCAGGTGAAGAACAGTGCTGCTGGAGGCTGTACGGGACAGACACTTTGAAGGGACGGATGCTCCCTCAGTCACAGCCCTTCAAGCTGGTCTCTCTCCCCTAAGGAACTGTGCTCTTGTGTTCACAGGGTGAGGAGGCCTCTGAGGTTCCAAATTGTGTGGGGAAAGCGACAGCTCTGTCTAGGAGAGTCATTCCATTAGGGGCTCCAGGCCCAAGTCTGTTTGGGAGGGACGAGGACCGGAGAGGCGGGGCCATCCCAGGGCTGCCAGGGAGGTGAGGGTTCAGAAGCCCCTGGGCAGTTGCCTCTCCACTGGGGGCATCTTCTCACCTGGCTGAGCATCGTCCCAGCGCTCCCAGGAGCTCACCGGGCCCTGGATTCCGTGAGTGGGCCAAGTTGGGCTCTGGCAGGGACCTTGGTGTCCATCTCCAACCTGACTCTGCCACTCCACCCGCTGCACCTCAGCTCGCCTCCTGCTGTAGCGCCGGCCCCACTCCCCTTTCCTCCTTTGCAAAGGCTGGCTGGCAGGGTTTCAGAGTCAGACTGACCAGAGTTCCAATTCAGCTCTGCCGCTTATTAACCGTGGGACCGCGGGCAGGTCCCTTCCTCTAACCAGGTCCTCCTCTTTAAAATGGGGCTGATATTAGATGGAACCACGTGCATTTGCCGTCTTTGCAGGTCAGACGTGGCTGGATACTGGCGATTTCATTCGCTTCAGCCTAGCGATGCCTTCTTCGCAGGGCTGTGGTGTGGATTAAGGTGCTCCAAGCTTGGGGAAAGCTGATATCCCTTCTGCCCCTGTCTTCCAGGAAAGCGCATGCTCTCCAGGGTGAGGCGAGCCCCCTCCCTTCTTGGTCTCTCTCCTCCAAGACTGGGCTCCCTCATTCCCTCTCCTGCTGGCCCTTCCAGATTTTCCAAATTCCCCTTCCTGCTCCTCTGGCTACAACAGGCTCAGACAACTACCCTGCCCCTCTTTCCTGCTGACCTGGGGCTCAGGGATGTGAATTACTGCCACCCACCCCTGCAGTTTGCTTCTGGAAATCCTCAGTCCCTGTGCACAGAGGGCCTTCCTGGGGTGGGGGCTTATGGTTGGCCCCTCCCGGCCTCTGCAGCTCTGGACAAAGATGCAAGGGCCACCTGGCATTTCCTGGTCCCCCAAGGCCCTCCTTCCCAGTGTTGCTCCTCTCCCAGCCCCAGCCCTTCCCTCTTGTGTCCTGTTTCCAGAAGCTGCTGGAAAGGGCTGATTTGGGTTCAAGCCTCCATGTGGGCTAGTTAGTAGGGACTGGCATGGGGTGTCCTGGCACATGTGTGACCATCCCTTGTGTTAGCTCTATGTGGATTCTCCAAGAAGGGGGCTACACAGCCAAGCGGATCCACGATGCTGCCTAGCGCTCCCCCTCTTCCTGTCTCAGCCCTCTCGCTCAGTCCGTTCTCTACATCCAAGCGATCTTTCTGGAATCAACTTGAGCTTGCTGGCCAGCTTTCAGCAGCAAACCCAGCATTCCTGGCCTGGCCCTCTTCTCCAGGCTCATCGTTTGCCACTCCCTTCCACTCACTTTGGGCTCTAGTTTTTCTGACCTGCTTGCTGTTCTCTGCGGAGCTCTGCTCTTTCCTGCCTCCCTGCCTTTGTACATGATGTTCCCTGCACCTTGCATTCCATCCTCTACTTTGTCCGTTTGGATGGTTGACTCCTCTTCAGCCCTTTGAGCCCTGGATCAATGTTACTTCTCTCATCTTTCTGCTCCCTTCTCTGGTCTCCCAGCCCACAGACATTCCATTCCTACTGATTTTGGTGACAGCCATGTGGCCTTGAGTTTCATCTGCATGCCTGGTGGTTGGTTCCTCTGGTCTGGGAGGGACGTGGCCGTATAAATCATCTTTGCAGCCCTTGTCTCTAGCATTGGGCTTGGCACGTGTTTATTGAGTGAATTAGTGAATGAAGCAGTGAAGATTTTTCTGGAACCCTCTCCATCCAGGAACTCTGCTGTGGTCTTGCTGTACTTGGCCATTTCGGAAGAGCTGGTGTTGTTCCCCACCAGTGAGCAGCCCTGGCTGGTGGTCAGCCGGAGCCTTGGGTTTCTGTCCCATTCACTGCTTCTGAGCACAGTGCGTCCACCACAGTTTCATGCAGCTGTGGCTGCTCTTGACTCAAATACCAGACGTTATGTTTGGCCTTGGTGTGTTTCATTTGTCATGTTCAGTTCCAAATGGCCCTTTTTGCTAAAAGACTGTGGCGCCAGGAAAATCCTCCTGCCTCTGCTAGCCGGTAGCCAAAATAACCAGACTGTAAACTGTCAGTTGAATTCAAGACTCGATCTTGTGAATGGCCAAATGCGACCCATCTTTATAAGCCGAGTCAAATGCAGGTGAGTGACATTTATGACAGGTGACAGGTAGATTTTACTGATCGCTGGTTAATTTTGGTCATGCTCTGTAAAAATGACCTCTAACTTCGCACTCGTGAAGAACATATGAATGGTCGTAAATACACATGACCATTATATGGGACTTAGAGAATATCTGAAATAGGGTATTCCTCTATGAACAGTGTTATCAAAGTGGAGCTCCAGGGCCATGTGCATCGAATCACATGGGCCACTCATGAAAATACAGATTCCTGGGCCCCATCCTGCACTCCCTTAGCTGCGTCTCCTAGTGTGGGACTCTGGAATCTGCGCTTTCCACATGCTCCTGGAATGATTCTGATGTTTCCTGAAAGTTGGGAGTTGCTTGTGGGATCAATGACGATGAGGGAACTCGTGAGGAAAGTGGGGCACAGTGGTGTGTGTAATGATGTGGTGACACTCCATATGTCATCAAAATATCTGTCGTTGGCATCACTACCTGGAGTTCAAATTCCAGTTTGATCTTGGCAGAGTCCCTCGTGTTGAGGAGGCACCAGAAGAACAGGGACGGGCTGTGCCGGGTCCTGGAGGTGTGGACTGGGCTGGTGTGTTTCGGACTTGCAAGCTGTTTCAGGTGACTTGAGCATGGACATGGAGGGGGCCCATGAGGAGGGCGGCAGGCATCCCATGACCTTGGCTAATCGTGTGTGTGCACATGGTGGGCAGGTGGAGAGAGCCGGTGTGCTGCTGACCCCATCTTTGCATACCTGGCAGTCTTCAAGTCTGCCATGTGTCACCTGAGCAACAAGGCTGGCAGGGCAGGTAGAGGCTGAGACCGGAGGGCGCACTGTGTGTCAAGCCCTGAGGTTTCGGTTCTATCCTGACGGGCATGGGTACCATGGAAGGATCTGGGCACATGGCAGCATTTGCTGCTGTGTCTGTTTGGATAAGATGTGACAAGGAGATTTCTACCCATGCTCCCTAAACAATTCTGTCCCTGAACTCTGCGTAATTAACCCAATTTCTTTATCATCAAAACAGCCTTGAAGCCTGAGGTTAAGGGAATTTTTAGAGCAAGATCTGGCATCATACAGACTTGGGTTTGTATCTGGACCCCATTATTTAATGGCTGTGTGAGTTTGGGCAGGTTGCTTTACACCTCTGAGTCTCAGGTCCTCCAGGTCCCAGCTGTGGGATGGAGGTAGCCACGAGCCTCTCTACCAAGCCCGTGCTCCTCCCTGGATTCACCCAGGAGGCGTGATCGCTGAGGACCATTTGTCTGTTTGCTTTGTAGGCATTGTCACGGAATCTTCTGGAATCTTCTCACGTGCACTATGAACATCTCTCACTTCCTGGCCTTTCTGCTCCCAGGATCCTCGCAGGGTCAAAACAGGAGCAAGTCAAAGGGCATCTCATACAACTTCTCTGACCACTGCCAGGATTCCACAGATCTGATGGTGTTCATTGTTACCTCTTACAGCATTGAGACGGTGGTGGGGGTCCTGGGCAACCTCTGCCTGATGTGTGTGACTATGAGGCAGAAGGAGAAGGCCAACGTGACCAACCTCCTCATTGCCAACCTGGCCTTCTCTGACTTCCTCATGTGCCTCATCTGCCAGCCGCTCACAGCCATCTACACCCTCATGGACTACTGGGTCTTTGGCGAGGTCCTTTGCAAGATGTCAGCCTTCATCCAGTGTATGTCAGTGACGGTCTCCATCCTCTCGCTTGTCCTTGTGGCCCTGGAGAGGCATCAACTCATCATCAATCCAACAGGCTGGAAGCCCAGTGTCTCTCAGGCCTACCTGGGGATCGTGGTCATCTGGCTCCTTGCCTGCTTCCTCTCCTTGCCCTTCCTGGCCAACAGCATCCTGAAGAGTGTGTTTCATAAGAACCACTCCAAGGCTCTGGAGTTTCTGGCAGATAAGGTGGTCTGTACTGAGTCCTGGCCACTGGACCACCACCGCATCATCTACACCACCTTCCTGCTGCTCTTCCAGTACTGCATCCCGCTGGCCTTCATCCTCTTCTGCTACGTGCGCATCTACCAGCGCCTGCGGAAGCGGAGGTGGGTGTTTCGCAAGGGCGCCTACAGCTCGCAGGCTTGGCAGATGAAGCGGATCAATGGGATCCTCGTGGCCATGGTGGCTGCCTTTGCTGTGTTCTGGCTGCCCCTGCACGTGTTCAACAGCTTGGAGGACTGGTACCATGAGGCTATCCCCATCTGTCATGGCAACCTCATCTTCTTGGTGTGCCACCTGCTCGCCATGGCCTCCACCTGTGTCAACCCTTTCATCTACGGCTTTCTCAACACCAACTTCAAGAAGGAGGTCAAGGCTCTGGTGCTGACTTGCCAGCAGAGTGCTCCTGTGGAGAAGTCCGAGCATCTGCCCCTGTCCACAGTGCAAACGGAAGTGTCCAAAGGCTCTCTGAGGCTCAGTGGCCGGTCCAACCCCATGTAGCCAGCTCTACAGCTTCTCCCTGCTGTGTTCATTGCCAGGCTCCTTCACTTAGCTAAGTGGGCCAGCTGCAAGCTGAGGGTGGCACTCTGTCATTACTGGCCTTCTGGGGCCCAGACAGCCTGGCAAGAGCCTGTTTTTGCACCATTTGCATGGTGAAGCCTGACATTCAGATGGCTCAGCTCTTTGTTCCTGGGAGAATTCCGAGTCTGGATTCTGCAGGTCACAGCAGGCCTTACAGCTTGAGCAGATGCCAGAGCCAGAGATGGTCTGCTTGGAGCAGGCAGAGTTCATTGTGGTAACTCAGTAACAGATGCCCAGCCTGGCAGGCTAGGTGTTTCACTTCCACCAGTGAGACTTCAAGGCCACTGTGGGGTGAGGGAAGGAGCACATGGGGTGGGAGCTCTGGACCTTGGTCAGCCCCTACCCTCTGTGAGAGATGAGGTTTGTGATAAGCCTTGCAAGTGGTAAAGAATGCTGTGGAGGCGAGACAGTGGGGTGATGTTACGTCATCAGCGCATCCAGCTGCAGAGAACAGAAGCTGGTGGACCTGGGTCCTCACAGTCCTCTGCAGTAGGAAACGCAGCCCCGAGCAGCAGGGATTCCGGGGTTCACATCCTGCTCCATCCTTTTGCTCTTTCACTGCATCTGCCACCTTGTATGGAAATAAGCTTGCAGATATTTCTCCTTGATAAGACGGTGAGCACCTTGGAGATGGCATCTGGATTGTCATAGAGCTTATGTCCTCCATGCCTAGGATAGGCCCTGGCACAGGGAGAGGGCTCCAGAAAGGTTTGCTATGGTCGGCTGATGGTAAAGGTGCCCCTACTGAGTGCTGAGCCGAGGGAGGCGTCTTGTGCTGTGGTCCAGCGTGGGAAGGGCTCAGGTGGCTGCAGCCACACTCTCTTGCCTGCCCTTCCTTTCCTCCCAGGACCTCTCTTGACAAGGTAGCTGGCCAGGGACTCTGTGACCCTCCCCAGTGTTGACCCACTGCTGAGGCTTGGGGCAAGGCCATGACTCCAGTCTCCCTCGTTCCACTCTATGGCCACTGAGCTGACCTGCACCAGGTGATGTGTCATGGTTCTTCCAAAGCCTCCCCAGGACTTTGGGCCTCCCAGTGGCCTTCAGTAGTGGCAGGGGCAGGGATTCCTTGGAGCCTGGCGTAAGGGGTGCTGGCTGAAAAGAGCGGGGCTGGGGGGGTCATCTTCCTTCGTTCAGCAAGCCAGGGAAAATGGAGAAAGGGCTACAATGAGCGTGAATGTCTCACCCATGGAGGTCATGGCCCAGTCTTCTGGATGCTGAGCCAGACCCAAGGCTTCATGTTGTGTGGACCAGACCGCTTGTCCCTGCAGGGAAGGCCACATCAGGATTGCTCATGGGCCCCCTTGGATGGGATGTCCAGGCCTGGCTTGGATGGGATGTCAGGCAGAACGGACAGTGGCTGGGTCACCCATGGCCTAGATCCCACAGTGGGGATCTGGCTCTACACGGGGGATCTGGCAAAGGGCCAGGGAGCAGAAGATTCAACAGCCACATCTGACCGCCTCTCTGGCTTTGCCCCTGACAAAGAACCTGTGCAGCTGACACTCAAGACAAGTGCTCTTTGAGCCTCCAGCTCCCTACCTGGAGCTGTTTGTTTCGTTCCAGCTTTTGGTCGCATCTCCCATTCTGTTCTTTGGTTCACCTGTATTCTGGTGTTTTGGACGATTGTTGAGCCATCCTTTCGGATGCAGCTTCCACTTGTCCTCTGATGCCATCTGCTGCTGGCTACTCCAGGTAACCAACTACCAGCAAAGCCCAGGCCCTGCGACCCATTCCAGCAGATGTCATTGGCCAAGATCCCCAAGGAATTGGGGGCCTCGGGCCCCTCCAGATCCCATGCAATTGGCTGGAGTTTGTTTCCCATCAGTCATCTCAGTGGTGCCAAGATGCTTGAGGACAAGGATGCTTTAGGGCGCTGACATGCCTTGAGGACTGGGGGACCAGGCTGGGCATCTGGTGAGGTGCTTGGCATTAGGATTTGGAGCAGTGAGTGGAAGCCTCGTTGAGCATCTTCTGTGCATCCCTCACCTTGCTTAGGTTGACGCAGCCTGCCTGGATGGCTGTCGCCTGCTGCCACTTCTCATGACCCGTGGGGTTGCCTGGTTACCCAGCATCCTAGGAGCTTGCCACTAAAGTGTGCTCAAAAGACTAGCAGCCTTAGCATCACCTGGAGCTTGTTGGACGTGCAGAATCTCTGTTCCCACTGCTGACCTACTGAATCAGAATCCGCATTTTTATCAAGCTCTCCAAGTTTGTGGTGCACACATTCAAGTTTGAGAAGCTCTGCTCTAGGAAGTAGGTTGCCCTGGAGCCTGGAGCCCCTCGGTGAGCACCTGCAGACCCCCCACTGTGGGATCTAGGGTAGAGCTTTAGGAATCCTAGTTCTTGACTTAGGGTTTAAAATGGTATTGCTGAAAAGGTAGTACAGTGTTGGTTGGTTGTCTCATCTCTGGCCACGTGTGGACATATTTTTTGTGAAGCCTTTTTGTTCCTTCAATAAATATTTGCCACATGAACAGTGTGCATCGTTACATTCTTAGTGAACCTGCCACTCTGTGTTCCACTCTGTTTCACTGAAAACTGTATCATCAGTAGTTTTCCATCTTGGCTGGAACTGGACTCACACCCACGAAGATGGCCTGGGAACCCTCAGAGGGTGCAAAACCCTGTCGGACCCTGGTGGCCTGACCTTAAGTCCTGTCTAACTTCAGCCTTCCTCTTTCAAGAAATGACCTCGACTTTTTCTTTTTTCCATTATAAAAATAATCATATTCGTTCCTGCAAATACACAAAATATACAACAGTAAAGTGAAAAAGGAAATCATGGTCCACCACCCTAAGATAATTGCCATTTACATTTTGGGTGGTCATCTCTCTCTCTCTCTCAAGACATATATATATATATATATATAGGGTTAAGTTTTATTTTTTTTAAAGTGGTTGAGATCATACTATGAGTGTATGCATATTTATGTATAATATTTAAGGATTATTTTATATCTTTTTTTGCTTAACCTTATAAGAATTTTTATTCATTCATTCAACAAATATGTCAGACACATGGTTGGTGCTGGGGACAAGTGGTAAAGTACACACTGTCCCTATTCTCATGGAGTCACTGGGTCCATCCTGCGTCCTTTGTCATCATCAATTGTGGTATATTTAGATGTTGGTAGACCTATTATAAATAGTTCTGGGATAAATGTCTATGCAGAGAACTTTCTGTATTTGAAATGATTTCCCTAGGACAGATTTCCAGAAGTGGAATTAATGGGCCAAAGGGTGTGGCCATTTTTCAAGGCTCTTCATGGATACTGCTGAACTGATTTCCAAAGAGGCTGGAACGATTTGCGCTCCCTGAATAGTGCCCGTTGCACCGGACCCTGGCCGCCATTGAAAAGTTACGGTAATGAAAAGGCCTCCGCTGTTCACTGACCCCGTCCCCTCTCATCAACTCATACCTCACTCCAGCATCATCAGTTTTCTTGGCTCCCTTTATACAAAACTCCTCCAGAGGCTTGTCTCATCTTGAAGTCGGCTTCCTCTCTTCCCCTGCTGTTTTGTACTCACCTGTCCATCCAAATAACTCTTGCCAAGGTCGCCAGTGACCTCCATATGGCCAAATCCCATGGCTAGTTCTCAGTCTTGTCTTATGGGACCAATCAGTTGGCAGTTGGTCAATCTTTTTGCCTTGAACTCTTTCTGCATGCGGCTTTCTCAGGACATCACACCTGTGGCTCTCTCCTGCCTCCCTGGGCTCTCCCTCTCAGGCTCTTTTTCTAGACTCTCATCTGCCCGACCTTGGGTCATTGGCCTGTCCCCAGGGAGCTATGCAGGCCCACCTGCTCTCATTCCTAGGTGGGCTCATCCCATGTTCTGGCTTTCAACAGCACCCAGTGTTTCAATGTCTGATGCTCCCAAACGTGAATCTCCCGTGGACTTCTCCATGCTCTCTGGGTTTGTAGAGCCAGCCACTTCTTTGTGTTCCTTAGTACATCCAGTTGGCATCTCAAACTTGTTCCAAAGCATATTCAAAAGCAAACTCTTGGGGCTGGCCCCGTGGCCGAGTGGTTGAGTTCGCGCGCTCCGCTGCAGGCGGCCCAGTGTTTCGTCAGTTCGAATCCTGGGCGCGGACATGGCACTGCTCATCGGACCACACTGAGGCAGCGTCCCACATGCCACAACTAGAAGAACCCACAACGAAGAATACACAACTATGTACCGGGGGGCTTTGGGGAGAAAAAGGAAAAAAATAAAAAAATAAAAATCTTAAAAAAAAAAAAAAAAGAAGCAAACTCTTGGTTTGCCTTCCTGCCTCTTCTTCCTCAGTTTCCCCTCTTTCATTAAATGGAAATCCCTCTTTTCATTTGCTTATACCACAGTCTTCGGGATCAGCCTTCTGTTCATACCCCACATCCAGTTCGTCAGCAAGTTATGTAAGCTCTGCCTTCAAAATGTATTCAGAATGACTGCTTCTCACCTCCCCCGGCTCTGCCACATGGTCCAAGCCTCCACCCTCCTCTACCGAGATGGTTGCAGCGGCCTCTTCTCTGGTCTCCCTTGGGGATAGTGATTGTTTGAAGCCTAAGTCAGATCCCCCCACACCTCCATTCAAAGCCCTTCCTTGGCTCCCTGTCACTCTCAGAGCAAAGTTCACAGCCCATGGCCTGCCCCTCTCCCACCCGCTTGAGCAGTGCTGGCCTCTCTGCTGTCTCTGGAAAACTACAAGATTGCTCCTACCTCTGCCTTTGTGTTTCCCACTCTCTGTAGCTTGGAGTGCTACCCCTGATATCAATATTTTCACTTCCTGGTTTCCTTTACCTTAAGTGAACCTTTATCAGAAGATTACTTCCTCAACCACACTGTCGAGAGACACCCCCTCACTCTGCATGCCTACTTTACGCCGCAGGACTCAGCACCTGCCGCATGCTTACACACGTTCACTTGCTTTAGTGTTGAGGGTGTCGCTCCCGCATTGGAATGGAAACCCCATGAAGGCAGGGACCTTGTATGTTTTATTCACCGTCTAGCTCTCAGAAGTGTGCCCGTGTACTCGAGGTGCCGAAGAAATATCTGTAGAGTAAATATGTTTAAAAACGTTTATAGTTAATAGTTTATAGTTGAATGACACTTCAACCTCTTGTGCGTGGTTTGTAGGATTTTCGTCCCAGGTTTAACCGCTGTTGTTGGCTGACTGTGTGGCCCTGAGCAGCTTTGCCTCTTGGTTCCTGATTCCTCATCTGTAGTAATTCTGGCTGCCATGTATTTAGTGTCCCAAACCCTGTGCTACACTTTATATACGTTGCCTCCCCTCAACCCTGAGATTGGATGGGTGAAGAAACTGAGGCTTAGAGAGGTGAAAAACTTTATCCAAGTTTTCAAAAAGAGCCAGATTTGAAACCCACTCTGATGGATTCCAAAGTCCATGAGTTGGACTGTTGTAGCATGAGAGAAGTTTGACCAGATGGCCTCTAAGGTGCTTTCCAGCTTTTAGCTAGAGAGTTTGTGCTTTATGGGCAATGGAGAGGCCATGAAGAGTTTTAAGCAGGGGAATGGCCCGGTCAGGTTACATTTAGAGAGAACAGTGTCACAGAACTGGCCTAGGTTCCCCTAAAAGCAGAAGCTGAGGCAAAGCTTCCTGGGCTTTCCCTTTGTTAGAAAATGCAATCGCAGGGAACAGAGTGAGGGCACGGGGAACAGACAAGGAAAGAGAGAGAGCTATTTCAAAGATGTGTTATTGAGCTGGCTGCCTTTAAGAGGCAGCTCATTACTCCATCTTTCATATTACTATCTCAGGACAGTCTGTCTGGAAGGAGAAAGAAGGAAGAATTTATCCACTGGCTCCTGTATTCCACTGGGTAAGGGTCTGCCGCCTGGAGCTGTGCATTCGTGGACACTGAGCACACCTTCACGTGAACAGAGCAGCTCCGGGGAGAGGTGTAAAGGTGTGAGGTGAGATGGGGGGTTGGAGCTGGCAGAGCTGGATCCTGCAGCGGCCCCTGGACCAAGAGGCAGGTGAGGGTGAGAAGATCTGATGTGGGGCAGAGCTGGTGTTATGGGTTGAATTGCATTCTCCCCCAAATTCATATGTTGAAGTCATAACCCCCAGTATCTCAGAATATGACCTTGTCTGGAAGGAGGGGCGTTGCAGATGTAATTAATTAAGGTGAGTTAATACTGGAATATGATGGGCCACAAGCCAACGTGACCAGTGTCCTCATGAATTTGGGCACAGAGACTCACACACAGGGAGAATGCCATGTGAAGAAGGCAGCACAGGTCAAGAAGATGCTTCCTCAAGCCAAGGCAGGCCAGAGATTGCCAGCGAACCACCGGAAGCCGAGGGAGAGGCACGGACAGACTCTCCCTCACAGCCCTTGGCAGGGACCAACCCTGAGGACACCTTCATCTTGGACTTCCAGCCACCACAGCAGGGAGACAATACGTTTCTGTTGGGTAAGCCAACTGGTCTGTGATACTTTATTATGGCAGCCCTCTTACAGGAGGCGAAATTAAAGGCAGGGGGACCCGTCTGTGTGAGCTACTGTGTCAGTGAGATGCTCTGATATTGGAGACAGACCCCAACTCAAACTGGTTATGGTGAAATAGAGAATTTATTCAACTCAATTTATTCGACTCAAGTTTTGGGGCTGTCCAAGGGAAATTCTTTGCCCTTAGGCTGGATTCAGGGGTTCGAACAATGCCATCAGTATTCTCCTTTCCTTGCCCCCTTGTCCCCACCACTTGCTCTAATCTCTTGATTCTGCTGGCCTCTTCATGACTTGGCTCTCTCTACACGCAGCGGTAGGAGGCCCCACAGCTCTCACCTTACGTTGGTCCTCACGAGCCCAGGGGGAAGGAGCTTAGCTTTCTCTCCATGCCCAGTCAGAACTCTGGGGAGGACTCCAGTAGCTCCGTTCTGAACGGATGACCACGGCCAAGTTGTTGGAACACTTTCTTTAGCATGGCCTAGGTCCGTGGGTCAGGGTGGTGGGGTCAGCCCCACTTGAATCACATGAGTGTGACGGGGTTATCATTGCAGGGGGTAGAGGTAGTCGGCCAAAGAAAGTGATGCCACGCAGGCAAAAACACAAAAGCAGAGGTGGGCTTGGAGAGGAGAGAATGGATTGGAAAGAGATCTAGCTGTTGAAAGGAAGGGATGACTTGGGTATGGGAGAGAGAAGGGAGATTCCCAAATTCCAGACTTGGGAAAGCAGGTGTGTCTTCGGTCCATTCAGTGAGCTGCAGCAGGGTTTTTGAGGAGGAGCAGTTTATCTTTGGACGTGTCATGTTTGAGGCACTCTTGGGTGTCCAACTGGATGGTCAGATGCTTGAGTCTGGACCTCTAGGGAGAGCTTTGGCGAAGGAATGACCAAACCATGCTGAGGGGCTGGGATGTGGCTAGACTGGGGTTTGGGCTCATCTAGAGCTGGGCACGGGCCAAAGGAATTCCAGTTTCCCAGAGCTGAATCTGGTGAGAGGACAGCAAGGTCATCAAACAGGTTGGGGTCCTGGG